AATTTGTGTGCGTCCTATTATTAGCTGGTTGCAGCAATTATACAGATCATTATGAACATGTTTTTACACCTCCATGTGTCCGAAAGTAAATCTTTAGGAATATCAGTTCAGTATCGAGACAGTTGCTATCCAGGAGGGAAAACAAGAACTTGGAGATTGTTCCATGTTGATGGGGCAAAACTGAATGCTTTTTTCCCCAATTCAGTCCGCACTTGTGGAATGTACAAGCAGTAGATGTCGCTGGACCTTAAAGCATACCGGTTTTCTGATCCACGGAGGAGTGAACATAGATAAGCACATATATACAGCACATCTCCATAGTCAACTAACGGTAAAAAAGTTGACGAGACAAGCAGTTTACCCGCTCTCAAAGAGAAACACAAGCGATTTCTGTAAAAAAAGCCAAGCCTTAGTCTTAGTTTTTTTTACCAGGTTTTCAATATGTAATTTAAAAGAGAGATCCCTATCTAAAAGAACACCTAAGTATTTATAATTGGTGACAATCTCTATTGGGTTACCTTGGGCAGTTTTTACAGAAGATACATTTTCATTTGAGTAAGGAGTTTTTGAGAACAACATGTGTTGACATTTAAAACCAATTTGAGGTTTTGTAGGCGGTCCTGTACGGCGTTTCTAGTTGATGTAGTGGAAATCAAACCTGCGGACCGAAGCAGAAGAGAGGAAAGAGAGGAAAACAAGAGTCTTATCAATGTGGTCAAACCTTTCAATATTACTTACACAACCAAGGAAAAGGAAAGAGTTCTTTTTATTCTTATTCTTTTTATTAGTTTTCACAGACACGTATCACAGTGAAAGTAGAAAATACTCACTCAGTGCCTGAACCAGGCCGACTGCTTCCCCCCTGGTTAAAAACTTTACACTCAACTAAGCCCACTAGTTGTTGGCTGAAGCATTATATTCAATGGACAGACATATTACCATCTCCTCATCCCAATAAAAAAACAGCAAAAATTATTATTTTAAAGAGCCCTTAAAAGCTGATGAGTCGCAGCACTGACATGTGAGATGAAAAAAGGCACAACCCCGTTACATATTAAATGGTAAAACAGAAAAATAAAACACTGTTTTCAATGACATCTACATTTAAGGCAAACTACTCAACACTAAATTCAAATCCGTGTGGTGGAAAAATACTTTCAAACACTTCTTGACAACAGTTCGAAAATTCATAAAGTCTGTTGAGGGTATTTGCAAAGTGTCCATGCCAGCAGGGCAGGTCCGTTGGGTGGTGTAAGTCCCTCTCAGGACGTCCTGGCCTACTACAACGCAATATGTTCTTCAGGCTGACTTGGCACATTTTGATCGCTTTCCCCCGGTTTGCAGCTTTCTATAACTACATACACTATGAGACCCACACAGATGCAAGAGAGGAGGACTATACCTACAACCCTTGTTTTCAATGTCAGGTGGACTAGTCAAGGTGAAGGCCATTTTTCGATCGCGCCTTCTCCTCTGTCTTATGTTCCAATGACAGGGACCGAGCTTTCAGATAAAATGAGCTTTCGAGAGAGACTTCTTATTGTTATTGTTTTTGGCTTCACAGAATGTCAAATTGCATGGTATCTTTTACCAAATTATGGAAGCTTGATTGATAAATACTTTGGTCCAGAGAAAGACTTCCTACTCCATTAAACACCACTGATCTTGTTGAAAGAAAATCTAAACACATGAACAAGTCATTATATTGCCAAAATAAATCTGTATTAAAAGGTGAACATCAATTGTATGTGTTTGCTTTCAGGTGAAGGAGCAACAGACACAGCCCGCCCATATTCTACACTACAGCCTAATTTATTTTTTGTATTACTATTATTATTATTATGTATATTCATTTTTTAGTTCCAAAGTTCTGACATCATTAAATTGCCTCTAGTACATTCATCAAATAAAAATGTACAGTACAATAAATACAACAAAGTGTGTCTATAATGTATTTCGGAATGATGACATGGAAAGGATATAACTGGCGAGTTCCTCCAGGGACCGGGACTTAGCTGATGAGATGAATCATGATTATCATGATGAGCTGAAGCTTTTGCTAAATTACCACAGAAGGTAATCTGGAAGTATGAAGGGGAGCGATTGTCCACTCTGGGCAACAATACTTTACTTGTACACTCAATGACACAGAATGACCTCCTGGGACATAAAAATATTCATCATCATGGAGTTCCATGGTTCCCATGGTTTTCTATCAAGCCGACAACCTTTCTAGAAACAGAGCAAAGGGCGTTGCAGAAGTTATGGATGTTTCTGAAATGAACACAAAAAACTTCCTCAATGCAATGCAGGAAGTCATGAACGAGCCCTCCTACAGGAGGAACATGCAGATGCTCTCCAGGCTGCACAGAGATTAGCCGATGAAGCCGCTGGATAACGCCCTCTTCTGGATGGAGTTTGTCATGAGACACAAAGGTGCGGCTCACCTGAGAACAGAGTCCTACAAGATGCCCTGGTACTCCTACCACTCTGTTGATGTGGTTATCTTCTTAGAATGAGCTGTGCTGATAATTATATGCACTTTAGATGCATTGATAAGGTGTTTGTGCTGCAGGTGTCTGAGAAGAAACGGCAATGTGATTTGAAAACATTTACGTAGAAATCCCCATGAAATATGATTCCAGTATTTGAACCATGAAAATATTGACTGAATAATTACTGTAATTAAATGTGGACAACCGAAAAATACCTTCTTTAGGTGAAAGAAAAAAACATTTGATTTTAGTAAAAAATACAATGGTCATTTGGTGCTTTATAATTCTTTTCTTTATCAACAAAGAAGAACATAGAGGTTTAAGGCTGATTATATGCGATTTCAGTATATTCCTAGACATTATTTGTGAAAACAGGCTGCAAAATTACTGCTTTAGAATTAGAAATATTTACAAGCATTTTCTAAATATGCGGGTACTGCTCATGAGTTCATCCTCTTTAATTAGGACAATGAGGAAGGAGCCGGTGCATGTTTTGCTCCACTGATTTCCGTGATCTTTCGAACTCACTGTGGAACACTGGAAGATGATAACACTGAAAAGACAAAACTAAACCTGGCCCTAAAATGGGTAAATCATTTCTTTGTATTAGTGGGATTTTGTACTATGGTACACTATTTTGGTACAAAACAATAACACCATCTTAATGTCAATGTTGATGGAGAGCCTCTCATTTCATTTTATTAGTCAACATTTTGGGATCATTTAAAATGGCTTTTTTGGATGTGGAGGTACCACTTAAATACAATTAAAAACAAATCAGTCTTTAGAGTTTTTCTCATTTCTTCTAAGTATTTCCTGTATGATATGAAACAAATCCCTTTTGGTTTTGTCTTAAATCTTCAATCTAACGAGTATTAGGTCTAACAGGTGTTATTAAAAATAAATAAGAAAAGAAAAGGAACAACTGGCTCAGGTCTGCTCAGTTCTTTGCTAAATAACAGTTGTGTGTTGTCTTTGATGAATCTGCTTGAGCTGGAGCCTCGTAATAGAGTATCTTTGGCTCTGAAGAGTTGACCATTGGTTTAAATATTTCTGTCCCATTGCCCTTAAGGCTTTCACTTCATTCTTGAATGTGAATATGTCTCTGGAGATTTTATTAGGTGAAAGTCTATTAACAAAAAACATAAGAAAGCTGCCAAATTATCTTTAAAAGTCACGAGAGTCATACACTGGCTACTCAAGGTCGACTCAAGGTCGTCCAAATTTGTTTATTACTCATAACAGAAAAATGCCCCATGACTCCATGAATGAGTTTAGGGACGCCATTTGTTTGAGCATGGTGCTCTGCTGCGTCTAACACTGACGAAAGAAGAGTCATGCAGGAAGTACTGAATTAGCCCTCCCCCAGGATGAACATGCAGGGTCAGCCCGAATTTCTATAGTTAATGGGCTTAACTGGCACAAGGGAAACAAGTAACAAGAAATATAAAAAATAAGTCAGAGCTGTCGTTTGCATAGGTTTCGGCACACATGCTGAGTAACCAGATCAGTCTCTTCTCGATAAAGGATGTGGTGACAATCTGCAAACAGGCTTTGTGTTCATGTGCGGATAGCATGCTATCTGTAGCATGTGTTATGCTGATTGTTCTGCTGATGTCTGAGCAAGGTTTGGCATTCAACCCAAGTCCAAAGTTGAAAGGATATTATCATATTATCATATTATCATATTATCATATTACCATATAGTTTGGTCCCACCATGGTGTTTGTAAAGGTTGCTTGATAGAGAGATGTTACAATTGTGGTGGAAATTTGTGGTTTTAGCCCTTGTGAGAAATTAAAAGTATCTTGAGCTTGCTTTCCTCCAACTATAATCACACTTGGTTTCACAGCTGAGTTCATCACAGGTTAAGACAAATTCAAGTTCCCAACAGTGCAGATTCGTGAGGTTTGTGGAAATCTACTGATTAAATGATATTATAAAGTGACTGATAAAAAAATCCCCACAGGTGTTTTTTCTTAAATACATGAATAATCATAAAACAATGAAAAAAGAACAACACTGAAAAGTCTGTTACAGAATTTGTGTACATCCCACTATTAACTGGTTGCAGCAATAATATAGAAAACCATTAAGATGTTTTTACATCTCCAGCTGTCCAAAAGGTAAATCATTAGAAATATCGATTCAGTCTGGAGACAATTGCTATCTAGGAGGAAAAGCAAAAACAGTTCGGGTGAAATTCCATGAAGATGGAACATTTTCATTTTGGGCAAATAAACCTCAAACTATTATACAAGTCACGTAATAGTTGATCAGATCAATATTCCCTGACTCGTGGATTCCACTTGTTTCATTATAGCTAATACAGAAGGCACGAAGAAAACTTCCATGTAAAAAAAAAAGTGTGTAAAAAGTTGAAACGGTGGGAGAGGAGAACTGACTTGATGCAGTGGAAATCAAACCCGCAGAGCGAATCAGAAAAGTTGTGGAAAATCAGAGTCTTATCAATATGGTCAAACCTTTCAATAATACTTCAACAACAAGAAGAGAGTTCTTTTAATTCTTTGCTATCACAGAGACAGTGGAGAATACTCACATCAAGTAAATGAACCAAGCCGACCGCTTCCTCCCTGGTTACAAACTTTATACTCAACTAAGCCCACCAAACTAAAAGAAACAGCACTATGACAGTTATGACTATGGCAGTTATTTTACCATTACATTTCATCCTTTTAATTACTTGAACATCACACAAGATAAACAATTTCAAATGGACAATCAAAACCTGAAAAAGAAACCATGACAAATAAAATCTGAATAGTAACACATGAAAAATAGAACATGAGTTGTAACAATAATACATGTAACAAGTGGAACGTGAAAAAATTACAAAAGTCCAACAAGGATAAACACTCTGCTTTCAGAATGGTCATCATATTCAATGGACAGACATATCATCCATCTCCTCATCTAAAAAATAGCAAAAAAGTATTCTTTTAAAGACCCCTAAAACTGACATGAGGGATGAACAAATGCACTAGACCGGTCACATATTAAATGGTAAAACAGAAAAATAAAAAAAAACACTGTTTTCAATAATATCCATATTTACGGCTAAACGGCATCATTCACCATTCATTACTGAATTCAAATCTGTTTGGTGGGCAAACACAAGCAACACTGCTTGAAAACAGTTACAAAAAGATATGGTTAGGTCGGTTAAGGGTGTCCATGCCAGCAGGCGGTGTGAGTACCCCTCAGTCCGCCCCGGCCTAATTCATCCTGCAATGCAGCATTTTCTTCAAGCTCACTAGCCTCTTTTTGATCGCTGCTTCCTCGATTACCCGTCCTACCTTTCTTGCTTCCGCTTGCATTCGTTTCTTCCTCCGGTTTGCGGCTTTGTAGGATTATATAAACTATGAGACCCACACAGAAGAGAATGAGGAGGACTATGCTAATAACCTGGGGTACAAAAGAGTAGAGCAAAACTTAAACATCCACAGGAGAAGAGCATTCTTGTTTATCAAAGTGTATTAACAGCTATATTGATAGGATTACATTAAATATACATATTTTTCAACCAGGCATACTTGGAGGGGGAGGTGTTTTTGCTCCACTGATCATAAGAATTCTGTAAACTAGAAAGCATTCAACTCACCCGAGACCAAAAATAGGACTCTGTGGTGACTATTAGTTCGTCCGAGGTGACATTTGGCTTACACCACTTCATCTTCGCATCCTTGTCAACTACTACAAATGTACCGTTCCAGGTTGTCATGGCACAAGCCAAGTATTGGCCATCGAAGAACATCAAAATCAGCCACACGAAAGCAGGAACAAAGCAGAAGACGGTTTTCCTGAACCACGCGTCACATCTGCATCTTTCAATGATCAGCATCAAGGTGAAGGCCAAGACGGTAGGAATGATAAAGAACGCGGATGAGAAAAATTTGTTCCTTTCAGGGTTGCAAGGACACTCAAATTCCACCTCCACCATCTTCGCCAGTAACATTTCGATGAAGCTAAAAGCCACATTTGGTACCATAGGACGCCTGAAGTTAGTAAGAAGAGTGAGCCATTGTTTTTTACTTTCCATACTAGATTGAGCAAAAAATGAAGGCAACCGCTGCAAAAAGCCCAAAGGAGGGTCTAGCGTTGTGAACACATTGGCAACAGATGAGCAATGTGTGATTAACGCATCCAGAGGTATGTTTTCCCCTCAGCCACATGTGACACTTCCAGTCTGATTGGTTTCAAACAAAGGAGGGTGTGCCGACAGCTCTGACTCCAGCTGATTGGTCCGTGCAAGGTTTCAGGTGGGGTTACATTTTGTGGTCTCTGATGGAAAAACTGTAGGGAGGGCGGTAAAGTGGAGGGAAGTTTGTTCTGCACAGACTGGCCCTTTGCAGAATGAATTCTTCGAGTTAAATGCATTTATCAGAATAAATATGTATCAGTGACTTCTACAGCTCTGATGGACGAGATATTAAAAGGAATAAGAGCATGGATTCATCATCATGTCACCTGTAACAATAACTGGCGAGTTCCTCATGATCCAGCTGATGAGATAGCTGAAGCTTTTGCTAAATTACCTCAGAAATTTACCTCAGGTAATCTGGAGTTATAAAGAGGACCGACTGGCCACTCTGGGCAACAATACTTTATTGTAGACTCAATGACACAGAATGACCCCCTGGGACATAAAAATATTCATGGAGCTCATGAAATTTAATTGTCATTGTTTTCTATTAAGTCGACAACTTTTTTAGACTCAGAGCAAAGGGCGTTGTTATGGATGTTTCTGAATTGAACACAAAAAAAGTGTGAATGCAATGCAGGAAGTCATGAACGAGCCATCGTATAGGAGGAACATGTAGAGACTCTCCAGCTCGCACAGAGATCAGCCTACTAGGTGGAGCTCTGCTGATAATTGTTGTCTATTGTCTGTTTGACATATTTTGGCAGAAAATGTTTCCTGATTCCTGATAATTATATGCACTTTAAATGCATTAATAAGGTGTTCATGCTGCATGTGTCTGAGAAGAAACGTTGATGTGATTTGAAAACATTTAAGTAAAAATCACCATGAAATATGATTCCAGTATATGAACCATGAAAACATTGACTCAATATTTACTGTAATTAAATATTAAAATAAATGTGGACAACCAAAAAATACCTTCTTTAGGTGAAAGAAAAAAACATTTGATTTTAGTAAAAAAAATACAATGGTCATTTGGTGGTTTATAATGCTTTACTTTTTGAACAAAGAAGAACATAGAGGTTAAAGGCTGATTTTCTTTGTTTTCAGCATATTCGATAAAACAGTCAAAACAGGCTGAAAAATTGCTGCTTTAGAAGGAAGTAATTTTCTAAATATGTGGGTAGTGCTGTATACAATATTTCTCATTTATTCAAACTATGTCTTGCATGATATGAAACAAATCCCTTTTGGTTTAGTCTTGCGTCATCAATGTAAAGAGTATTGCTCGTTAAAAAACAAATAAAAAAGAAAAGGAACGATTGGCTCAGGTCTGCTCAGGTCTTTGCCATATAACAGTTGTGTGTTGTCTGTGATGAATCTGTTTGATCTGGAGCCTCGTAATAGAGTATATTTGGCTCTGGAGAGTTAACAATGTGTTTAAATATTCCTGTCCCATTGCCCTTAAGGTGTATATTTAATTCTTGTGATTTTGTCTCTGGAGATTTTATTGCGTCAAAAACTTTTTGCAAAAAAAGACGAAATAGCTGCAGCTTTTTCTGAACTACCTTTGAAAGTGAAGACAGGAAAAAAAGGAGAAAAGAGATTTCCTCGTTACTCTCGGGTTATGTACCGAACTACTTCTTGCGGTTGTTTCCTGAAGGCAACTGCAAGTCTTATATAACTACTCATGAGACAGGAAACAGTTTTTTATTCTTGTACAGATCAGACTAATGAGATAACTGTTCACTCATTCGGTTCAGATACCGGCAAGCACTGTTTTAACTTTGGACTGAACTTTGTCTCTTGTCAACAAAGGATGTGGTAAGACGCAAAGGCGTGGATAGCTTGACAATCTGCAGGCTTTTGCAGATTGCACACAATTATTGCACGCCGTTGTCTTTGCAGTGTTTTGTATTTGTATTCATTTGGCAGGGACAGCGCAGAATGTATGAACGAGGGACACGTAAAGCCAGATAGTCTCTATTCATTTTTTGTTGAAGTTACAAAAGTTACTAAAAATTAAAAAGTTCTGAGACCATTATATTGCCTGTAGTACATTTATCAAATACAAATGTACAGTATAATACATACAACATAGTGTATCTATAATGTATATCGGAATGATGACATGGTTCAAAGTGGCCCTAGATGGTAGATGGGGAAGAAACGGGACTTTATATATCGCCCTCAACTGTTAGACACGTTTATTTTGAATCAGAGCGGCAGATGATTTAACACATGAAACTCCATGATTAATCTTAGGCTGGCTGTTAGCCTGGTCTGGAGCAGGCTAGCTGCAAAAAATAAATCCACATGGTTACTTGGCTGGGTTTAATTGAACCTGCTCTCGTGCAACCAAGTCAAAAATAAATTCATCCAGGATAACTTGAATATCCCGGTTCAATCCCTTATCCTGGTTTTGTGCAATAGCCCCCAGAGGGATTTATATAGTGCTTTACATGGTATGCTACTTTACAGTAAAACCAGCACATTTATCACATGAACACAGATACAGCAATAAAACAACACATGAAAGCAACTAAAATAGAGTGTACAACTTTCCTAGTAAGTAGATATTTCTAAATCCTAAAGCATTCAGTCAGGATTTTTCTCTCTGTTTAATTACAGCAGCAGTATTCCCTTTTTTTGCATTCTATATGCTTCACCTCCTCCTACATTTCCATTATCAGCTGCTACTTAGCGGGTGAGAAATATGCTGCTCGCTGCGTCTTCTCTATTCCTGCATCAGTAAATCTGTGATCAATACTGTGGTCTACTTATGAAAGCCATGGACGTGCACTTATCCCGACTATGTGCACCTGGATTGACTAAGTTTCCCCCTCTCATCCCGGCTCGGCAAACGTGCAACCGATTAAGCTGCGACGAGCCGATTGCGCTTTTTCACTCATCCTGGATTTCTTTATTGTACTTTTGTGCAATTGGGCTCTGGATGAACATGCAGAGTCGGCCCCAAATTCTACAGTTTATGGGCAAAACTGGTACTCGTAAATCGTAAGTAACAAGAAATAAGTCAGATCTGCATAACTGCTGCATGTGTAGGTTTCAGCAGACGTGCACAGTAAACGCATCAGTCTCTTCTCAACAAAGGATGTGGTAAAACACTAAGGCATCGACAGTGTGAAAATCTATAGGCTTTGTGTTCCTCTGCAGATTGCAGGCGATTGTTCTGCGGTTGTTTTAGAAAAATTCTCACTTGCCACCAGCGTAAAAACATCAAAACAGGATAGACAGAGTTGACACACACATACAGGTCATGCGCCAACCCTACTCAAAGGTTTTCATCTTCGGAGCAGGAATATGTGGTTGGAAGATAAACAGGCTAAAACAGGGTTTTAAAAACACCGACGCACAAAAATCTTGATTATCAGAACATGACTCTCTGTCTCTGCCTACTAAGATTGAACATTAATGCAATTTTTCCGACAGCAAGTTTTGGCATTTAACACAAGTCCAAAGTTAAAAGGATATTCCTTATATTACCAAATTGTTTTGTCCCACCATAGTGTTTGTAAAAGGTTTCTTGATAGAGAGATGTTACAAGCACACCTGGTTTTAGACAAATGCAGTTTTGTGAGGATTGCGGAAACTGTCTACTGACTAAATCCCTGAGGGTTTTTTTCTTGAATAAAGCAATAATTTTATCATAAAACAATAACATAAAAGAAAAATATTGAAAAGTTTTTTGCAGAATTTGTGTGCATCCTATTATTAGCTGGTTGCAGCGATTATACAGATCATTATGTTTTTACACCTCCAGCTGTCCAAAAGTAAATCTTTAGGAATATCAGTTCAGTATCGAGACAGTTGCTATCCAGGAGGGAAAACAAAAACTTGGAGATTGTTCCATGTTGATGGGGCAAAACTGAATGCTTTTTTCCCCAATTCAGTCCGCTCTTGTGGAATGTACAAGCAGTAAATATCGCTGGACCTTAAAGCGTACCGGTTTTCTGATCCACGGAGGAGTGAACATAGATAAGCACATATATACAGCACATCTCCATAGTCAACTAACGGTAAAAAAGTTGACGAGACAAGCAGTTTACCCGCTCTCAAAGAGAAACACAAGCGATTTCTGTAAAAAAAGCCAAGCCTTAGTCTTAGTTTTTTACCAGGGAATCCATATTAAAGAGAGATTCTACTAAGAACACTAGTATTTAATGTGACAATCTCTATTGGGTTACCTTGGGCAGTTTTTACAGAAGATACATTTTCATTTGAGTAAGGAGCTTTTGAGAACAACATGTGTTGACATTTAAAACCAATTTGAGGTTTTGTAGGCGGTCCTGTACGGCGTTTCTAGTTGATGTAGTGGAAATCAAACCTGCGGACCGAAGCAGAAGAGAGGAAAGAGAGGAAAACAAGAGTCTTATCAATGTGGTCAAACCTTTCAATATTACTTACACAACCAAGGAAAAGGAAAGAGTTCTTTTTATTCTTATTCTTTTTATTAGTTTTCACAGACACGTATCACAGTGAAAGTAGAAAATACTCACTCAGTGCCTGAACCAGGCCGACTGCTTCCCCCCTGGTTAAAAACTTTACACTCAACTAAGTCCACTAGCTGTTGGCTGAAGCATTATATTCAATGGACAGACATATTACCATCTCCTCATCCCAATAAAAAAACAGCAAAAATTATTATTTTAAAGAGCCCTTAAAAGCTGATAAGTCGCAGCACTGACATATGAGATGAAAAAAGGCACAACCTCGTTACATATTCAATGGTAAAACAGAAAAATAAAACACTGTTTTCAATAACATCCACATTTAAGGCAAACTACTCAACACTAAATTCAAATCCGTGTGGTGGAATAATACTTTCAAACACTTCTTGACAACAGTTCGAAAAGTCATAAAGTCTGTTGAGGGTATTTGCAAAGTGTCCATGCCAGCAGGGCAGGTCCGTTGGGTGGTGTAAGTCCCTCTCAGGACGTCCTGGCCTAATGCAATGGGATATTTTCGTCAGGCTGACTTGGCACATTTTGATCGCTT